TTTTCAGTGACCTTGCCGCATACCGGTGTCGGTGCTGTGGTTCACAGTCGTTGCCTTCTTGAGGGCACGTCGGTCAAAATCAAATAAATCACTGCACGCGTTTAGCAGACTGGAGAGAGCCTGATGCTCTGTGTTGGCCAGAGAAGGGTTGATCATCTGTCTCGCAGCTTGAAGCAATGGCAGAAGGGGCCGCGGAGGGGTGTTAAGAGCTCCCGGAGACAAAGCGGCAAATGCACAGATATGATTAGCAAAGAAGGATCAACTAAGCGATCTTCGCACTCTTCCCTCGAAGACAGGAACCACGTGCTTTGAGATTGCACTGAGTACGGCTCTCAAAAGAAAAAGATTAAAATACAACTGGGTCCCTGAAAAAATGATGAAATTGAACTGCACCACCTTCTTGCGCCTTAGCCAACTTCTGACGATGGACAAATCTACAACTACTTTAAAATTGCCTTGATTTTGTTTTATAGTACCTTTTCCCTTTTAGATTTTCTCCCTTGTGTTCTTCTAGCCCCGAAACCTACCCCCCACTTTCCTTTTTATCGCGAAGTAGCAAATCAGCTCTGAATGCAGGTTGCCCTCTTCGTGTTTGTAAATAAACAATTCTTTAAACAATAAACCGAGAAACTTTCGCTCCCTCACTTGCTTCAGTGTTGCGTTCTCGAATTTCATGTTTATTGAAATTCTTAAAATGATTTATTTTGTTTTGCTTCAGTTCAATTGCAAGCTATTCATCTAAATTCGTCACCCTTGTAGTTTCAAATGTGCTTGAATCATAAGCTCGCATCTTCCTCAGGGCGGACGAAAAGAAAAAATATGTAAGCCGAGGCACCGCCACCTCGCGATGAAGCCGGAAAACAAAAGCTAACTCAAATTTCGCCTTCGTTATTGGTGGCGCACGTGGCTCGTCACATGACGTCACACTGTGAAGTCGTGGTGGTACGCGATGTCACGGTGTCAACAACGCTACTGGATCAAGGGACGTTGGGTGTGAAGTTGTGGTGTAAAGGGGCGTGACACTACAACTTGACGCTTTGACGTCGTTGCGGGACGTAAGGTCACGTGACGTGGTAAATCACTGGGCCAATGAAAACAACGCAATGGAAACTTCCGTTTTTCATAGAGTTATAAATGTCGCATTTGATGGCTGATCGATAGATAAAAATATAGATAGAAATAAGCTGCCTTTTTTAATTATATTTTATTTCCAGGTAGCAACAGCGGTAAAATGCAACGTTATTCGTGCTTATTTATTCGCAAAATAGGGGTGTAGTATTATGATGAACGAAACATAAAAAATGTTAAAAAAACCACATGCGAGACGCGCTTAAACATTTTATTTTATTCATTATTATTATTATTATTATTATTATTATTTATTATTATTATTACATCTTTTTAAAGCTTCCTCACTGTTGTGGCAATCACAGAGGGCGGATGATCGCACAGAAAATGTTTTCGCCTGCTCCGTTCAAGTTTGGAATGTTGATTGCTCCTGACTAAATACAGGGAGGTTCAGGGGTTTCCTTAGGAATTAAATATGGGGGAGTCTAAATTTGTAGGGAATTGGGGGGGGGGGGGGGGGGGCCTTGAGAATAGAGGAGTCGTTGCGAATTAAGGGGTTACCTTCAGAAAAACAAGGGGGGTGTACTATCGGAAACAGTATGAACGCGAACGCGCCTCCGCGGCGACAAGCGGAGGCGCGTTCACGCTCATATTGTTTCCGATAGCACACCCCCCCCCTAGGGCACTGCCCTAGGGGGTGTGTAGGGAAATCACTGGGGTGGTTAGAGGTGACCCTATGCTCTAAAAATTGGCGCCTGCGAACTTTAAGCGATTGTGCACTGAGATGGCCAGTTTTACTTTCTGGGATTTCCAGGCGTAGTTATCTTTCTGTGGAAAAATACGACCAACAAACTTGCCAAAGTCAACGGCGGGGGCGTTCGCAAACGACCGAGTTAAACTTGTGGCGCCATCTCCCGATAGGCGGAGCAAGCAGACAAGAGAGTGCGTCGTCTGCTCGTTGCGCCTTTCGGGAGATGGCGCCACAGTCATATTCATCGTCAACTCGGTCGCCTGCAAACACACGGGCCGTTAACTGATAGCGAGTTCGTTTCACGGCACTCGTGCCCACGCATGCCCACTCGCAGCGTGGAACGGGTTCGTTTCGGCCGGCACTCCACGAGTGGTTGCACTCTCCGAGTTCGTTTCAGCGCTGACACCCCACGCGTGCATGCACTCGCTGCACCGAGAAAATCGGGAGTGCGCCAAAATGCAATCCCGTCATGCCTCGCTCCGGCGGGGCCGGCGAGGAGCGGGAGCAGACGACGAGGGTTCGTCTGCTACGATGTGTCGCAGAACCGAACGGAAAAAAAGTAGATTTTCCGATAGAAATCGCGTCCCGCGGGCCACGAAATCAAACGCGAGCTTGAATTGTGAGCGTCTGCTATTTCCCGAAGGAAGCAATTGACAACCCGTGATTTATTTGCAGGTTTTAAATCGCTCTGTTGCCGTACAAACGATGAAATATACCAGTGTGTAAAGAAATGCTCAAAACAAACGTAACAGCGGCCCCCGAGATGTCTATCACCATCCGTGTGCGGGTGAAAAATTTAACATTTGTCGACAAAACTCCCCCAGCAGAAACCTCTGACTACCCAATAAGCATCAGAGAAAGCTAAAGATGGTAACTTTACCCGAGGATTGGGCAACATCATCATGTTTAACATTCACCTACGTCAGATAACTTGCCCCGTCGTATTTTGTTCGAGAAAGCTCTCGTTCTCGAAGCCCTCACCAAGGCTAATATCTGATCCACCTATAATGACGATCCAAATCGAAAGTCCCAGTTTTGCTGGATATTCCAACAGGCTAGTTTTAAGCCGTACCCTTTCAGTAGTCCACGCATAATACCATGCTCAAACGGATCAAGCTTCTGCTCGGACAGCATCATCAGTTTTCTTCAGTGTAAACGGTTATAAGAATAACCAGCTGCTTTGTAGACAGCTAGTTGTGGAAATTTACGCCGTCTGTAGCTACCTCTATGGCAGCCGAGCTGCTTGAAGTCATCGCAACTATAAACTACAGGTTGCAGCGACCAACGTTCCTAGATAAACGTTGGTAGCGACTGCATTCACGCATTCCCACGCATCACTCCGAACAGAAAAGCGCTAGTTTCGGTTTGAAGTCGGTGCCTTTTCTACAACATAGATGGCGGCAGCGTCAGTCTTCTGCACTCGGTGCATTTGGCGAGTTCGTTTGAGTCCAGTTTTCCGTGCAACACTCTGTGAGTGCGATGCATTCTGGGAGAGAACTCGAACGGTGCCAGTGCGTGTGAAACGAACTCGCTATGAGGTATGGTGTCTGGAACGCGTCTCCGACTGGTGTTTTTACCGCGCCCAAAAAAGTGGTCCCTCGATTTCCGCCTAATGACGTCATACAAGTGTCGTGCTGTAGCCGGTCGCGATCCTGGCGGCGTCCCAACAGTTGTGGTGTGTATGGCGGACGCCTGTTCTGCTGTAGGTCGCTCTCCACTGTGACAGTCCACGGAAGGCAGAGCAGCCGGAAGCTAGGACGCCGTGACGACAGCAACACTCGCTTTCGCTCGTGCTTTTCGCCAGCATTTCTACGCCCAACCGCCTGGATCGCGACAGGCAACAGCATGACACTTCGGTTTTTGTGACGTCATTTGTTTCCACTTGGGGACCACTTTTGATGTATGGGCGGGATAGGACGCTAAACACACCAGTCAGAGACGCGACCCAGGCACCATGACTGAGGTAAGTTTGTTGGTTCCGTTTTGTACAGCACGGGAACCATGCCTTGAAATTTCAGTAGTCAAAACTGACCACGTCAATGCACATTCAGTGAAAGTTAGAGCTTCCGTTCGCGCGGGTGCCGATTTTTCCGGCTCGTCCCGCCGTACCTACCCTGTATTCCTGTACCTCCCCAGCCTCCCCAGCTGCCCCAGCAGACTGAAAAAAGGTCGGGTGAACTGCATGTAGCGCCATCTCTCGGCGCCGGAGACGAACGCTCCTGCTTTGGGCGGCCGGGGGGCGCAATCGATGGGCCGTCGTCTCCATAGCGGAAGTACCCGGCCCGCCGCACCTGCCCCACTCCACACACCCGCGTGCTTGCTTCGCCCGACAACACGCGCGCGTTCGCTCCGCTCGCGCTCACCTTGTTCCGGCTGCGAAGTGTCCTCGCCAGAGTCCGGAGTCGCGGCCCGGGGACTTTCCTGCTCTGCTGTGGTCCCCGGATTATCCGTCGAGTCCATAGCAACAACGCACATCGGCGGCGGGGCTCATGGCACGATCACAACAACGACAACAGCAGCGCACGCACGCACGCGAACCGCGGCCCGGGACTCCTCCATTGGGACCCGGGCCCAACCCCCGACGCACTGGGCGGCCGCTTCCGTTGCTCCGCTTCAGGACCATGCGATTCGCATCTCGTGTACGCTGCCCGGCCGGACTTGGTGCACGGCTGCGGGCATCTTGCTGCCTTTTCGGGCGACGGCAAGAAAACACACCCGGGCAAAAGCAGACGATGCGGCTGCTACATACAGCGCAGCGCGATTACCAGACGCAAAGATGGCGAGGGTACCGTTATGTCACGGGATGGCGCCACTGTACAGATCAATATTTGGTGCCGCTTGGCGTGATACTTTTCTGAAAATAGGGCAGACTGATTCTGGCTGATCCGAAATGCGATAAGAGGGCTGATTCGAAGTGCGATAGCCGGCATATTAGGCTGTAAGATCGTCACAGACCCTAATTATGCGACATATGATGATCAGTTTCGTTTTCGATTCACTCGTCTGGTGGGGAAATCAATATGTTCGGAATCACATAATTACTCGCACGACATCTAATATAAATTAAAGCTTACTTAAATAAATGAGCTCGTTTGAAGATTTAGTGATTTGATTATAATTAGTGTTAAACGTTTACAACTGGTTGAGCGTAGTTAGGGTTGTGCGTTTAGTTTCCTGTAGACCTCCACAAACCAAGCCAAGTCGAGCCGAACTTGCAAGCGCGTACAAGCATAGACAAAGCAAATCAGTCAACAGACAAAGCAAAACAGTCAGCTGTTTCGGAGCAGCATTACGCGAGCTTCACCAGCTGAACGTGTTTATGGTGGAAACGGAGAACGATGTCTCACAGGGAAGGTAAAGTGCTGAGCCTCCGGTTTAATCAGGACCACGGTAAGTTTCTGTTCATTGTTCGCTGTTGCTGTACGTGCTTTCAACCGCGAACCTCCTACAACTAAGGACTGGAACTTTCAGTAACCTTCGTTCTAGCCCTTGTTCCTGCTAAAAGAGTTTTGTTTTGACAACTTGGCGACGGCAAGGAGCTGAAAAACATGACTTTTGTGCGATTTTAAAGAATTTTCGGTAATCGAGCGGAATATCCAACAGAAGTCGAACCTTGAAAAGACAAAAGGTGTTTGTTTTCGTCGTTCCTTTGGAGGTCCAGTAGCTGGTAATGCTTGGGGTTTCTAAATGGAAAACTCTATTGATGGATCCAGAGCGTTTTCGGAGCACTTTTTTTGTTGTTCTGGAGGACCGCCGTGGCACAACCGTTGGCCCAGTGGTGACCAGGGGGTTATCGATGACGACTGCCGCCAGCGGTTGGAATTATTGACGGAGATCGTCGCAGGCTCGGAGACTGAATCGGGGACAGGATCCCCTCATGAGCTGACGCAGGTTCTTTGGTGGTCGTGTGTAGTTGAAGGCTCCACGAAGTCAGGGGCGTCCTATTTCCCAGGCGAAAATTTTCAACTGGGACCAATTGGTCTCAGTTGCAACTGGTTTATGGAACAATTCCCAGTTGCAACTGGTCCCAGTTGGAGTTGGTCCCAGCTGGAATCGGTCCCAGTTACAACTGGTCCCAGTTACCGCTGGTACCAACTCCAGCAACAATGAGACACGGCACAAAATGGAAAGTTGACAAGACTTTATTGTCAAAAACTTGGAGAATGAAACTAAATAATAGGTTCGGTGACGTGCACGCTCCGGGTTTAGCCACTTGCTTGCGACGGTTGAATTCAGGGGTTTCCCCAGGATTCTAATCAAAGGGGGGGGGGGGGGGGGGGGCAATGCGAGGCAATGCGGGGCGAAGTGAGGCTACATAAAATATAAAACTGTTTCTTTTTTAGTCCACTAGCTAAATTACAGACGTCTATTAACCAAATGCTCATACCCGTAATGCATGTTTCCCTTTCTCTATATATACACCTGAGAGGTGGTGTTTTCTGCTTAATCTGAAAAAAAGAATTTTATTTTCTTTTTTTCTTTTTTTTTAGATTCAAGGGGGGGGGGGGGGGGGGGTGTCCAGGAAAACTAGGGGGGGTCTAGGGAAATCTCTGGTTGAATCGCTTTTTCAGAGGTAGTTAGTATTCATGAGATGAAGGAATATTGGCCGCTGGCGTCTGTTAGTAAAGGCGTCCTCAGCTTCCCTCCCCATCGCGTGAAGAAAGGTGCTCACCCGTGATCCCGCGTTGCGCAGGTGAAGTCCTGATAGGATCAAGAACGCTCCCACCTTGCAATCTCTGTCACAGCATTCAAACATTTTCGAGGTAGACCTCCCTCCATTTTCGCCATTGTGCTCTCCGCGGCGTTTTCTCTTCCGTCCGGCCTATTTGCATCCGGTCTTTCCTGGGTGCCCCCAGATCGCTGAACTGCATCTTTCCATCTTCGAAGTTCAATGCTGCCACCATGGTGTGTGTACAGTTAGGTCCAAAGAAAGCGCAGCTGTAGTTTTGACATTTTCATAACGGCGCCAACTTGGACGACGCCAACTTGGGCGATGGCCGCGTCGGCCGCGTCCGTCCGACTCAGTGCGACTCTGGCGTGCGTAGTAGGAGCAGTAGAAGTGCGTCAGCATAGGTAGCGCCATCTGTCGACAGCGCGTACCACTAATCCGCACCCGCGTCCCGCGTGCCACGGCGGCCTGATTGGCAAAAGATAAATTTGTTTATTAAAAGAAAAAAGATACTGTGGGTATTTACATAAATGTTTTAATATATTTTAATAATGCACTAAATGTTCATTTAGCTGAACAGATTTTGTCACTAATTATATTTTCAAATTAAAAAAAATTATTTAGTTAATTAAAATTTTTATATTATTTTTATAAATATATAAATGTAAATGTAGTAATTAAAAATTCCCCTCTTTGTATAAATCTAAAAATGTAAGTGTTTTTAGTTTTCTTCATTAACAAAGGTCAATGCACCCCCAATTTGTCAAAATTGTTGTCCCGTGCGAACTGGGAACGGGAAAGGCATTTGAAGTCCGACTGGGAATTGCTCCAACCAGTTCCTTCCCTAACTGATCCCAGTTGACTCCATTCCCAACTGGGAGTCAAACCAGTTGACTCCCAACTGGGAATGGTTCAAACCAGTTGACTCCCAACTGGGAATGGTTGAAACCAGTTGACACCTCAGCTGGTTTCAGTTGGACTCCTATTGGTCCCAGTTGATTCCCAGTTGGGACCAGTTAGTCCCAGTTGAAACCAGTTCAGGTGCCAACTGGTCCCAGTTAGAAATTTTCGCCTGGGTTTCCAGCTGCTCATGATGTCTCCGCTGCTGCACCTCGTGATTGGCTGATCGGTCTCAGTTGCCATGGCAATCAGCATTTCGGTCCTTTCAAATCTTCTAATCTTCAAAAGGGTCGTTCTGAACCAGTCATACCAAGACCGCTATGGGGCATCATCATATGGAAAGCGTTCCTCGCCAATGTACCGTGACATCCCAAGAGATAACCCACCAAAAATCAAAAGCAAACCGGGTTAAAATAACGGGTAAGCTATCTTTCTATGTGCCATAAAAAATAAAAATAAAAAAAAGTTGAAAAAAATGCTAGGTGTAGATTTTTGACCCGCAAAACTTGGGATTGCAGTGAGGGGGTACGAACGAAAGAAGACTATCCTTTCCAGCCGGCAACGTTTGCTTATCTCCTGCCAGCGTTAAGTAGTGCCGGTTTTGCCAAGGTCACCGTTGGCTAGGACCCTGCAATTACTAAAATCATTCGGTGTTTCTGAAAAAAAAAAAAATAGCAAATCGTGCCAAAAATAAGAGGCGAGTTCTCTTTCGGGGAGTGGGGCATATCTCTGGATATTCCAGTAAGCATCTGGCACTGTGCCTGTAATCAACTTATCAGATCTCTTACAACGGTATTGTTCTTGCATATTTAAAGAGGGGAAATTTATTTTTAGGAGCTGCCAAGCACAGGGGTTGCACGTGGTGGCGATGCAAAGACGTCTGCCCGTTTCGCCTGGGCGTGGACATAAAAATCTCGGTACATGGGAAAGGCCTCTATAGACCTACGCATCTCCATCAATGTTAGAAAGACTCGCTGAGAATGGAGAGGTAAAGCAGAAACTGCTCGCTCCACAAACCGAAATGGCGACCGGACGGGAAGTTGGTGCCAATTTCCCAGGGTCCAGTGACCCTAGGTGTGATCGCCAACCAGATGATGGAGGCCTGTCGCAGGCATGTAGCCAGGGGGGGGGGGGGGGGGGGGGCCTATGGGGCCCGGCAACCCCCCCCCAATATCTTCCATTTTTCTGGGACCTCCTCTCCACCCTCCCCCTCATAGAGCATTTTGTCATGAGTGGGCCCCCCCCCCCCCCCCAAACCAAAATCCTGGCTACGTACCTGGCCTGTCGGTTGTGCCATCCCCAGTGCGAGCGTCCTACCTTTGCGGATGCTTGGTGTCGTGTGAACCTGCAGCTTTCACGCGCAGCCAAAACACGACAAAACTCAATGAGGCCGTGCCAGAGGCTGGACATTTGAAAGGGACCACAGTAATGCTTCTTATGCAGATAAATTAAAGGGGGAACATATATCTTTATTTATTGCCAAAAATTTTCGAAAAATTTATTTTTGCTAAAATTATTATTTTAGAACTTGGCTATTTTGGCAAGTTCATAATTTTTTGGATCACTATTAGTGCTACTATATAATTTTTGAACATCTATGCAGGTTTGCATTGGAGTTGATGCCAAATGGCATTTTCTCGGCACAAATTTTGAGCTCTTTGCAGATTTACAGGAGGGATATCTCAGCATCTAGGGCAGATAGAAACATAACTTTTTTGCAATATGTTGCTAAATATCTGAGGCATACAATGTTGAGAGCAGATTTTTTACCATAAACCTAGGAAACTTTTCAACTGATCTATTCTTTTATTACTTAGTTGCCACACATTGAAAACTGACATTCAGTGTGTTGTAAGATAACTAATAATGGTTCACTAATAACAGTCCACTCAGGGGCGGATGCAGGAATTTCCTGAGGGGGGGGGTCAGGTGTTGGTCAGCGTACCATATGTTTAGGAGCCCCCTCCCCCTCTCCCTTGTTTTACGCCCCAAGTTTTACACATGTAAAAATCAAGGGGGGGGTCAGGACATCCGGACCCCCCCACTAAATCCGCCCCTGAGTCCACCTAAGCTGCTGCTCTCTCCCCCCTGCATCCTTTTCTTCCCCCTTCCCCTCCCCTTCCCCCCCTTTTCTACACTAAGGTCGTTGTGCTGGGCCCCTCGGTACGGGCCTTTGGCTTTTCCAGCACACCCCAGCTCTCCTGAGTTGAAATAAAGTATTGTTATTGTTAAAAGTACTTCAGACATTGTATTCTTTATACTTCGTAGTATCTAGCCATGCATTAAATTTTTTTGTTCAGTAAATGTTTGTCTATTGTTCCTGAAAACAAAAGCAGGTGAGTTTTAATTATCCTGAGGACTTCATTGAGGACTGTACTGCTGACTGGAAAACTGACCAGGTATTTTAATCAGCAAGAAAAACCGAACAAGCTTGTGCACTTTCGTTGAGTTCCATCAAACAATAAGGAAAAAAGCTCCAGCAGTGTTTCCCCTTAATACATAACCCACAATTTTATTAAACAAGTTGACAGGTTTTGAACTCAAGGAGAAAGCAGCAATTGGCAAGGTTTACACCTTGTCAATTGCTGCTTTCTCCTTGAGTCGCCAAAGAAGGATTGGATAGAGCCAGAGATATTCACTTGGTAGATTATTGTACACCCTGGCTCGGTTCACCAAACTGTCTAAATCGTTTACGTTTCACACTCTATACTTGTCAAAGACACAAGGTTTATTGTTAGTCCCATGCAAGAGGTGCCATCACTGATTATCAACTGTGTTTGTGAAATTCTGTGTGGAAATGGTACAAATCTCTTTCTCATAATTGCTTGTCTCAAGCACATATTCTCACTAATTACATCTCTGCTTCTCCCCAGACAGATGCTCTAGAATCGGGGAATCCCAGAAAAATAAAACAAACTCGAACATTGTGAACTTTCAAACGGTTTGGAGTCAGTGTGGCCCTAAGATTTACCATTGTAGATCAAGGTTCACCCGTTTAGATAAGCAGATATGGCCAGTGCATTATAACTGCTAATATGTACTTTTTTAAAAACGTGCATCACAGAGTAGTGATTACACAATACCAGTACAATACAGTGCTTATTCTCGTTCAAACCGGCAGGGTTAGAACCTAAGACTAAAACAAATATGCCGACCACAAGTTAATTACTCTTCCATTTATAGAGTTTTGTGGTGAAAATTAACTGATACATGTAGAGGATTCTTCAAAGAATCGTCACTGTCCTAAGCGGTTTATGAACTTTCTTTGAGCTGCGTTTAGTCGGTTTGATAGCCATCGGGTGGCGCCAATGACCCATTGCAAAGGCCATGTGGGGAAGCATTGGGTGTGTGCCCCTGAGGGTGAAGTTGACAGATGTAATATAACTTGTGGAAGTGCAAGTTACGAGCAATCGCCACGAGAGGTGTGCAGCTAACAATGCTGCCTTTCTCAATCAGGCTGCTTCTCATGCTGCATGGACAATGGTCTGCGCATCTACAATGTGGACCCCCTCTCCGAGAAGGCTCACCTGGGTAAACGACATGGAACTATTTTCATACTTTTATGAGATGCCACTTAGAATTGACCCTTGACGTTCGTAACCTACAAAAAACACGTTTCTTTTTCTCTCTATGAGGAGATAATGTAACCCAAGCTGTTGGAGAAGAGGAAAAAAAAACTCCCCTCTTGCCCTTCCTTTGTGTGCGCCAGATGTTGCTTTTGTCTCCCCGTCGGAGATTGACCTGCCACTCAAAATTCGTACAAGAGCGACTTTCCTCTTTCTCCCTTCTGTGGCTTCAAGAGCACTGTGCGCAGCTAGTGAGACAGAGTGTAGTTATGTGCCTCACTGGGGACCGTAGTCTTTGCCATTTGCCGAGTTATTGTGTGACATAGTATAGAGCAAGGTCCTCTCCCTCTTGACATGCTGCCAAAACAAGCGGTCACGCGATCTGGTGCCTATTATGTGCCACCATTGATCATTGTAGATTCGCGCTGGAGTTGGCAAAGAGGGGGGAACATGCCGAGGTCCAGACATTCTTTGGGTTTGGCTATTCTTGTCACGGCACTGGCTGGACACGGGCCACTCACTGAGCGCTAGTCGAGACATTTATTGTCATGAGTGCAAATCGAGTGCTCGCACAGTGCTCGTGTCCAGTGTACAAGCTGCATTCAGACATTGTCACCCTGGGTGCTCCCTGTGAGTACGTTGACCCCGTGATAGTAATGACTTCGTAATCAAATTTTGTAAACAAATGCGACTGAAGAAAAAGAAAAAGTCAGCTCTTATTTTTGATATTATGCCATGACAATGAAGCTTTTTGGTCAGTGGCATTGTGTGGGAGTGTAATTGGGATGCAAAAACTCGAGCGAAGTGAACATCTCGGTTCAACATCGTTGCACTGCCCCTTTAGATTTTGTGAATGCGTCGCAACTTCAAAAGTATAGCAAAAAAGTTTTCACGTGAATTTATCACCGCATCTTAAGAAATACGCAGCATACCCCTTCCAGTTGCAGAATTTTGTGCCTACAAAATATTCCTGAAACCCGCACTTTGTAAACTTTGTAGAACATTGAGCCCGCAAAAATTGTGTCGTTTACAGTATGTGTCACGTCTGAAAGAACTGATAGTTTTGGTAAACTATGAAAGCTCAAGACACACAGTTATGTTTCCAGTTGATTTTTGTCTCACCTGTGGGTAGTATTGAAAGTTATCATATTTGAGTGTGCTTAGGACACATACTCAGAATAAACTCTCTTTTATCATTCCGGTAGTGTAGAACGCACTTTGCGGAAGTTTTGTGGAAGATTGTCGTTGGCACATGTTTAGCAGTAGCAAACTGATCTGTAGCTGCTAATTGAGACTAACTACCGCTGCATATGGGCAGGGTCTGAGCATTCAGCAAGGGATAGTTTATTTTATCAGTGAAAAAAAAACAAAAAAACACTATAGTCCGTTGCAACCTAAGAACGAAGGACGAGAGTAAGAGGGGCGGGGGGGAGGAAGCAGACGGAACGCTGGAGAAGAGAGGGGGAAACCTCCTTCTCTCTTTAGTGTTCTGTCTGCTTCCTCCTCCCCGGCTCGTCTTACCCTCGCCCTTCGTTCTTAGGTTGCAACGGACTATAGATCTTTTCGAGGACACGCTGTATACAGGGGCTTCAAGTTTTGTTTTATTCTTTCTTGAGTTTCTTTTCTGAATGTATTTTTGCTTGATACATGTTGTTGTCCAGATGCCTCGGTGGTGGGCAGCGTGGCCCTGTGTGAGATGCTGTGCCGTAGCAACCTTCTGGCCCTGGTGGGAGGAGGTCCCTACGCAAAGTTTGCCGACAACACTGGTGAGTCCTGTCTAGGCTGGCAACAAGCTTCACCACCGTACACCGTCAAACGCTGGAGAAGCGGATGTTGCAACGGAACCTCTCGGTTAGCTCGACCTGCTCGGAAATGTTGCTCACTACTATGGAGCAGTTCCATTAAATGCTTTTTCCCTTCCGGTGAGCCGCATTCTGTCATGTTGATGAACAGCATCTGCCACTTTTGGCATTTGTTTACACGCAGATGCTTTTTTTATTCGCATGGTTCTTTGTATTGGTGGAATGCTGGAGTATGGCCGTGTGGCTCCGTCGACTACAGAACTCGGCATGTGTGATCGGGACGTATTGAGGCAGTGGCATCGAGACAGGAGGGGGGGGAAGGGGGGGGGGAGGAGGAGGAAATGTTCCCCCCAGCCCCCTTTTTTCTGATGCCACATTCCTAATTAACTGTAAACAATTATGAGGGAGGGCGCAGAAAACCGTCGCACTTGCCCCCTCCACCACCACCACCATTGCTCCCCCCCCCCCCGATCTTCCGAATAGTTTCCAATACCCCTGATTTGAGGCATAGAACCAAGCTTATTCCGATTTGTGTCATTTCCGTGTCTCCGGAGCAGCATCTAACGAGGCCTTCATGGCTGCCGACAGGTTGACTTCTTGATTGCGGGCTCGTATCAAGTCCAAATAAAGACTGGTATGCAGCAAAATTGATTACCAGATGACACTCCTTTGTGTCGCCACTACTTCGGTAGACGCAATAGATTGTGCTACAAAAAAAAAAAACCATCGAGCTTGAAAACACGGTTTCCGCATGTAAGGAAGACGTACAGGGAAAGTTCATCAACATGGCATCCGGCAAGATTTCGAGCTGGAAGTATGTTACGCAAAACCTCGCATTGGTTGACCTTTTATGATTATGATTAGTATAGGTTGACTCCTAATTTAGGAAGACAGTGGCGTTAAAAAGGAACAGTGTCGATCTAATTTTGGTGAAATTATGATACTCAATCGAGGAGGGGATGTATTCTTTATGGTTGAGAAAACAAAGTTCTCGAGTTAAAGGCAGTTAAATTTTCCGAAGGCCTCCGCCTTCGGAAAATTCAACTACCTCAGCTTTTCGCAAGGGTGGAATAACGTGGAACTGTTTTTCCACACAGTGCTCATCTGGGATGACCTGAGCAAGCGCTTTGTCATGGAGTTCACCTTCCCTTCCCCCGTGCTGGCAGTGAGGCTACGCAGGGACAAGTGAGTTTTGCGTCCCCCAGGCACCCTCACATCTCCGAAATGATCAACCTTTTCACTCTAAATGCTAAAATATGGTTTCGACGCACCAACTATTATGTTTTTGCTGTAGAGGTTCTCAAACTGGACTTTTGGGAACTGAGTGGTTTCCCAGACTACTTTCACGTATTCCTTGAGCGGTTTCGTCGACCGTTCCTCATGCCTGTGTCCCAATAGAGCGACCATCAGAAGCGGTAACCAACACAGACAAGCCTCAAATCTGTATAGCACGCATGCAAAGGTATTTTTCGCTGGCTCGCAATCACTCATGCTTATTTCTCAAGCATCAAGCATGTGCTTGAGGTTGGTCAGTGTCAATTATTTCTGTTTGTTACTCTAGTAGGACTAATACGTTAAACATATCTTCAGTGTAAGGGAGGACACTACCCAAAAGGGTCAACTTTTGAACCTCTGGCTTAATATGAATGAAATTTGCAGTATATACTGGCACTTGTGAGGAAGAATGCAATGCAAAGATTAATTTGTGTGCATGAATTGTGAAAGAAATTGTAGTTGTTTTTATCGGGAACACACTGACATTGCTTAGGAAAACTATCGTTAGAAACCTATAATGGAATACCTGACATTTTACTTCATTTTTGCATTTTATGTTGTCGACAAAATCTTCGCACCTTTTATAAAAGACATGCACTAAGTAAAAAGCAATGCCACCGTTGCATTGCCCATTAAATTTCGACTTGGAAAAGCCTGTTCTTTTGTCCCATTATTAAACAAGTTTTCCTAAAGTAAAATTTATACCAAAAAGTAAAAGGGAGAAAAACTCGTTCAAAGTGCTCGAACCTCTACCTTTTTTTTAGCGTTGGTGAACCGAGAATAATTTATAAAAAAAATAACTATACAGTGTAAACAAAACAAAACTTTCTGGGAATATTTTCTAGATATTGGTGGATGTACGTATTTATGGCACTTTCCAAAATCTACTTTTTTGCAGAAATGATTGTTTTTGGGTAGTGTCCCCCCCTAAGTACTGTTTTAGCAATCTGAAGCACCCATTGGAGCATAACTATGGGCTAAACACTCCTTGCTTTACTCCGTCACTGCCACGACTGGAAAGGTTTCTCGGCTGCCAGTCGAGGTAGGTTCTCCGAAATTCAAAAGGGAAGGCAGTGACAATTTAGGCGACTACATTCAAAATAATTTTTAAGTGTTATTTTGACGTCCGTGACGCAACTTCCCGAAGACATGAAATATTTTAAAAATTATTTCGACGTCCCCTGGCAAACTATTTTTTTTTATTATTTCGACATTTTAAACTTGGAACTTTGGAGAGCTTAGGAGGTTCCGAGTCCAGACAAAAAAATAATCAAAAGTGGCGGTAAAAAAAAAAAAAAAAAAAATCTTACTGGCAGGCGGTGTTGCAATTCAACACACACTTTCCAAAAACAAACGTCGTTCAATCGACTGCAGTTTTTATGACCTTTTAAGTGAGGGGGAATGCAAAAAAGCTTTTCAGTATACATTAGCTATCAGGCTGCACAGAACATTTTCTTGGTTGTGCTCAACGTTACACAATGTGTCACAGTTGCTTTTCATGATTGATTTTCTGTGTATTATGTAGACGAAGTAGTTTCTGAACCTCGTGTTATAAAATTTGCGGTTAATTGTACCCATATGCCGTCGGAAATTGTGAGTATTTTGTACAACCATGGTGCAGACTGCAATATGAGAATGTTTTGTTCGGCGCATCAGAATCTTTGTTGTTCGTTTGCACTGGTCATGAAACGTCAAGGAGCCAATGTTTGCATTCACTTTTTATTTATCATCCCGATCAATTCGGAGTTAAACCACGTGTTATACACAAACCAAAAAGATCTAAACTAAATAACAAACTCACGAAACCCGGTTAAAAATGGAGCAGGATCCAATTGCAAAGCGAGACTGCAACCATACGAAGATGCGCTTGCACGGTAGTGGAGGCGTGGAGGCACAAAGGGAACCCCCGCTATAGAGATGCATATTTTATGAGAAATAGTAAAAAAGTAAAAGCTTAAACCGCAGGATTAGCTCACTTGGGTTGTCTTGGGTCCCCCATCAAGCACACATTCAGGGTTTCTTCAAGTTGACTTGTTTTCAGCATTTGGTAGTCATAAAAATTATGTTTTCTGCTGATTTTGGTACAGTCAAATGCCTTTAAAACAAAGTCCGCGGGACCGCCAAAATTTTTTGTAGTACAATTAACTTTGTTGTAGTGGTTAAGTGCGAAAAATCAATCGTGCGAAACTGAATTTGTGTTATAGCGTATTGACGTACCTGCGCGACACTTGAGGCGTTTTAGGAAAACGTACAGCACCGAATATAGTATGAGTAACGTCAGAAACAAGGTTTTGAGAACTGTGGCCAAATCTGCTGTTGCATTGGAGCTCGGAGTATGCAAGGTGAAACTTCGTGCTGCAGGATCCAGGCACCTTGGACCAGGCGCGTATCCAGGATTTTGTTTTGGTGGGGGGGGGGGGGGGGGCCTTGCCCATGACAAAATGCTGTATGAGGGGGAGGAAATCCCAGTGAAATAGAAGATTCTGGGGGGGGGGGAAAAGCCCAGGCCCCAAGGCCCCCCCCCCCCCCCCCCCCCCCCCCGGCTACGTGCCTGCCTTGGACTCTATTGCAATTTTTATTTCTCTATACGAAAATTGTACCAACACGCATTTGTGTACTCACCACCGCGCGATGCAGTGTGAAGACACCAGGCTAGCGGTTATACCGCCTCTGGCAAAATTTGTCATCTACAGTTGAAACACTGGGCGCTCCTTGCTGCAGACTAACTTCCCGCCGTCCAATATTCCACACAACCAAACTTAGCCGACCTATCAAATAATGAATCGCAGTGATCACTAAACCACCGACAACCCCCGATCACGCGGTGAGTGAGGGGCAATTGCCGACAGTGTAAATTCGGCCTTTTTTTAAATCGGACGGAGGCTTGCACCGCCATGTGTCATTCAGAGGAGGCTCTCGAAGTGGCTGCATTGTTCTTGTAGGAGCAGGACGACAGCAATACTAGCACTCCCGTAGCAGCGTGGCAGAATCGATACGCTTTCGACATCAGACAGCTGCATGCAGTACGTGAGCAGCGATGAGCAGCGAAGATGGGGAATTGCACACAGCAGAGCCGAGTCGACTGAGTCGCTGAGCCCTTCTTTACGTGTGTCTGGCACAAAGAGGGGAGCACGTTTGTCTGTGCGGCTCTGGCGTCACTGGTAGAGTCACGGATCACACTTTCTTGACCGCATATTATTGCTTTGAGGCGGAACAACTTGGGTCTAGGATCGAGCAGGATTTGGGTATCTTGGACCCTGGCGAAGATCGGCGCGTCGGTTGAACAGATGCCAGGACAGCATAAAAAGACTGCCCACGAAGATACTTTTATACATACTTTTGTTCGCGCGGGCCCTTTCAAATGTGCCGATGTACGCGCAAAACTAAGAAAACAAGTGCGCGCATTCCCCAGACACAGCATTGAAAATAAAAACTCGCATCGGAGCGAAGTGGCCATACTCAGTCAAGGGAGTGAGCAAAACAAAAGCGAACGAAATTGCTTCGGAGACTGCACCATGTCCGCCGCACATTCTCGGTTTTGGGTTCAAATAATTTATTAGTGCGCAACCTTGTGTCTAGATAGCACTACGTGACTATGTTGCTGTGTGCACGCTTTCTACGCAGCAACATAGTCACACAGTGTCATCTAGTCACAAGGTTGCGCACCAACAAATTATTTGGACTCGAGAACATGCAGTGTGGCAACGGTGTCGACCGTCGCTGCTCCCGCAGTATCTCTGCTCTCTACGCGCTTCACTTCAGAGCTACAATTTACTGCATATACACGATTGTAAATAAATTCCTCCCCCCACCCCCCCACGCTGCACGTAAAAAAAAAAGTTATACTTTAGGGGCGTTTTTTACGGCGAGCATGTGCGAACGGGAGGGTCTCTTTCGAAAGCCCAATCAACCCGAGCCCAGGGAGTTCACGTGATGGCAGCGCGTCAGCCAGATGGTGGCTTTTCAATTGGCCCAAAGGCGATGGTATGTTTGTCCGTGCTTGTGACATCAGTTTTTTGCTATTTTATCAAGACATACATGTGATACAAGGAACATTGTTTTTTTTCATTGAGAATGAAACCTCGTAAAAACAGACTGGCAATCTCTGGGGGAAGGCATCCTTACGGAATTTTACGGTGGGCGTCTTTTCCACAATAATTTCGGTGTTTGTGAAATCTGGCCAAATGTCGGTGAGAGCCTGATATCGCGTCTTCTTTCTGGTATGGCAATGCCGATCAGTGTCAAACAATCCCTCGGGTGCCGCCTCCTTTGAACGCAGGATCTTTGTGGTGAGCCGGCGGCAGATCCACGTGATGTCATTCCTCAACAAGCCGTCCAAGTTGTTCTCCTGCGACACCTGGGATAACCCCTTGGGTAAGTCGAGCCCAGCCCTGCGTGAGCGGGGAAATATTGATTGGTGTTTGAAGCGGTGCTCCGGCAGTTTATCGAGCCACCCAACCTATTCACATTTTCGGTATACCCATGTTTTGTACTTCCTGGCACGCTATTTATTATCTCGAAATTCGTGATAGTTATTGAGAAAATAGCAGTAAACTGTTGCTCCTTGCAAGCCCGAAGATGAGCAAAAATCAGAGGTTTGGTTTGGTCAATTTCTCAATGGGTCTTTCTGCGCTTTGTGGCGTTCTGTCCTCTAGCGTCACGTCTGCTACCAGTTACTCGAACTTGGAAAGTAACCAGAAGGGTAAAGGATCGTTCCCACGGTTGTGTTGACAGCATTGCGTTGTGCAGCACAGCACCTCCTCATTGGCTCGTAAGAGTTGCCGTAGCAACACGCAAGCAGTCTTAGTGCAGTCAAACGCAACTGTGTGAACAAGCCTTAGTGTGTTACGATTAAGGTATGAAGGTGGCTTAGAAAGTAATATCCCACATTTTGGTTTCTGAGAAAACTGCTCATTCAGAATCTATGAAATTTGCAGAGAATGTCACTGCATGTCTGCTTTACACACTTTTCGACTTCACTGCCCACTTGTTTTGCTTTGTGGCCGCGCAAAACGAGGGCACGCTTACCTTCTTTGTACCAGTTTTTCTGCTAACGCAGTCATGACCCTCTCCGCGAATCTCGCTCCTGTAGTTTTTGAGCCTTGTCCTGCACAGTGCATCCTTCGGTGGTCCAAAAACATGCATAGCATCTAATGTTGCCAAGGATTGCCGATTGGGCGCTATCAGATTTTAATCTTCTCTGGACTGCTGACGAGTGCCGCAATGTGTTTGGGTTGGGGGCGGCAGCAGGACACCACGACCGTGGCTGATCATGCGACTCTGTTTCTGTGCCTTCTGGGGCCTCAATTTTTTTTAACCCAGCATTTAACGGTGCTTCTGTCAACTGCTATACTACTAAACGCAGCAAACAAACGGTTGTGAATCTTGCCCACCGTTCCTTTCTTCCCACTAGGAATTCAATTGTAGGTACCGTAGTTAATTGTGATGTGTGTTAGATACGGATATCATTTTCGCAAAGCAGTGCCTTTTGTGCCACAACTTGTGAAATTCCACACATCGATGCAGGACACATCAGTGTTCCGGCCAATCAATTTTTGTCACTATCTGTATTTTAGGATGATAAAAAAGAAATGTGGAGCGTTACTCTGTGAGCCACCCTTGCATATAATTCATTGTTTGGGGATCAGGAACAACCAACTACTTTGTTACTGTTTCAGCAAGTGATGAATGGTAGTATACTTTGTTGCTTTTTTTTTTTTTAATGCGAAAGCATTATTTTTTTTTATTGTGTGAAGCCGGCAGTGTCTAGCAGCAATAAATGGCACCCAAAGTCCCATTGACTGCAACGCGTCATATCAGATGCTCTGTCACGGAAGCCGGCAAGGCCGCTCGAGGTGCAAGCGGGCACGCCGCGCTGATGTTACCGCCAGACCGCCATGTGAAATAGGAAGACGTGGCACACTGCTTGTAGGAATGTGCTGCATGTAGAAATGCATTTGCATTCCTGCACATAAGCAGTCTTAAGTGTCCTGCAATTTTTGTTTGTCAACACATGCATGTCTGGTTTTTGCTTGACAGGGCTCCTGCAAGTGACTCCCCAGGCAAGCTGTGAGCGCCACCTGATGGTGTTTCCAGCACAGCGCTGCGGCAGTGTACAGCTTGTGGTGAGTGAGTGTTGTGCTTGCTCCTACAGACTTGAGCTGTGGGACGCAGCGTGTTGCAGTCTGCCAGCATCTCACAACCTTGGAAGTAGTCAAATGCGAGAAAGGAAGAACCCGTGCAACCAGCAGCCACCTAGAGCACCAAACATGCCACCAGAAAGTGGCGACAATGTCTGATTGGCGTTTCCTTATGAAGTGGAGGACGACGATCTGGTTTTCGACTGCCACCTTTTGTTGCATGGTTCCTTAGAGACCATGAAACTTTAAGGGGGCAATGGAGCAATTTTTCAGTTCCTTAAAATTTGTTTTAAGGCATCATAAAGCAAGTGTTTCAGGTTGCACTGAATGCTTGTTTAAGAGATCATTAAGCAAGCATTTCAGGTTCCCTTGAACATTTGATCAAGGGACTATGAAGCAAGCATTTCAGGATTCTTCAAACATTTGCTTTAGGGACCATGAAACATTGAGTGTATTAGGGTCTCCTAAACATTTAGGAGACCCTCACAAACATTCATGAAGCACATGTCTTCGGGGTCTCCTGAAGGCTTGTTTAAGGAACTATGATACAAACATTTTAGGATTCTCTTAACATTTTGTATTAGGGTTCATTTAACGTTTTGAGTTTTTGGGTCTCCTAAACATTTATTTTGGGGATCATGAAGTAAATGTTTCAGGGTCTCCTGAACATTTGTTTAAGAGACTACGAAGCAAACATTCTACGATTCCCTAAACATTTGTTTTAGAGATTATGAAGCATTTGGAGTTTTCAGGCCTCCTAAACATTTATTTAAGGGACAATGAAGCAAACACTCTAGAATCCCTTGAAAAGTTTTGTTATTGATCCATGAAACATTACAAGAATTCTAGGATCCCCTAAACATTTATTTAAGGGATCGTGAAACAAATGTTTGAGGGCCCCACAAACATTTCTCTAAGGGGGGGCACAGCCTACAAATCACAATTTTTTAGGGTTGTGCGAATATTCGAAGTTTCAAATAGTAGTTCTGAATAATACAATATTCAATATTCGCTTCGAGAGGAACTGCACTATTCCCGTTTTTCGAAGTGTTGAGTGCGGCGGGTTAGCCCCTTTGAGTGCGCTTCTTACCAAGCACTGGTGCGCTGCGGAGAAGCAATACCCGCGGAAGTGAGCTCTGTGGGTGTTGTTTCCCTGCATTACATCGGTGCTCCGTAAGAAGCGCACTCAACGGGGTAACCCGCCGCAATAAACACTTGGAAAAGTATGAATATCGTAATTGCTTGCTTGGAAGTAAAGCATACATTCAAAGCGGGATGGAGCACTTGTGCCGCCTGTATTTGAAAATAAATGGAAACTTTGTAAATGTTTATATCTACATTGTAGTAAAAGTTTCAAAATTAAACTTATGCAAGAGTATACTATGTTAGGCAGGATGCCCTTACAACCTGCACTCAACATCTGCAATTATTTGTTTTTTAACTCGAGATTACAGCAGGAATATTCTATATAGCAAGATTTATAAATTCACTCAAATGGTAAAGTTGGCCATCTCTACAGGATTCATTTTAGGTCCAATCAGTAATTTACTTGCCATCCCAAGACACCAAACCTTCTGAGGTTACAGTTCCTAAATATATATAGATTAAACTTAGCTTATAAATGAACAACGAAAACCCAGCTAAACCTTCACAGGTTTAGCTGGGTTTTCGTCTAAGCATTATGCAATGGTAGTGAAAGGTGTGGAAAAACTATTCGGTATTTGAATCGAAAATATTCGGTCAAAACCACTATTCGCTTTGAATTTGCTTCAAACTCAAAATTCTCTATTCGCATAAGGCTACGATTTTTTAAAAGAAGTCATGTTTTTGAAAAATGGTCCTATCAGCTTGTATAACTCCTGAGGAAGGCTGTCAAAAAGTTTTATTCACATAGATAAATTATTTACTCCGAAATTATTATTTTCAACGTACCGGCGGCTGCACTTGCTTCGAAAAAATGTGCGCGGTCGTACAAATTCGTTATACTCAAAGCGTGCTTGCTCTGCAATCATTAGGCCTAGCGCAGACAGGCACCCCTCATTGAAAAGAGTGTTTAAGGTACCATGCAACATTCGGGGCTCCTTTTCATGAAACACGAGGGTCTTTCGTGCAGGACCTTTCGGCAACGGAGCCAAGCAGCTCCCTGTCCCCTGTGACCATCCCTGCCCACCAGAACGAGATTGCCTGCCTCGCTCTGAACCAGACAGGAACCATGCTGGCCACAGCCTCTCAAAAGGTGACCCCACCCTCCAGGCCGGGCTCCCTTGCCAGACATGGGTGTTACTCGTAGAGTAACTGAGGGAGAGGAGGGATGAAAGTGTGCAGTGACATAGCGCCCAGCTCTGAATGGAAAGGTTAGGGGGTAGATGTAAAGGCTAGCTGCTTTTGTTTCTAGCCTCTGCCTACCTTTGGTCAGAGCAAACGAGAGCATCATTTGCTTCTCGATCAGAGTCTCGCATTTAAACGCCGGCATTCAAAAGTGTCTCAAGAGTGAGTAGGGACAAAGGCACTAGCCCTAGTCTTTCCAATCGGAGCTCGGCGCTTTGATATCCCTGCGCGCTCGCATCTCCTCCTTGCCCTCAGTTTTTCTTCGTATAAGAACCATTGGGTGATTTGTTCCCACGATTGTTCAGGAAGAGTCGCTTCTGTTGCATTTAATACTGTTCAAGCTGGCTTAGTTTTAAGGTGATTGCTTTACATGGGAATCCTCCAGGGACTTTTCTTGCTTCTGTTGGTCTGTTGCACCTGGTATTGTGACGTAACAATGTCACGTGATGTCATGGTGTCGCATGGTGTCACGTGAAGTCACAGTGCCGCATGACGTCGGGGTTCCACAAGATGTCATGGTGTTGCATGACGTCAGTGTCACGTGATGTTTGGTGTCAGGTGATATTACAGTGTCGTGAGACATGGTGTCACATGACTTCACAGTGTTCTGTGACGTCACATGAACTATGATGTGACTCGTTATGTCATGATGTCACATGACATAATGGTTCACGGCGTCATGTTATGTAATGTGAACTGTGACGTGACTTGGAAGTAAATGCAAGTGTGCGCACATTTTCATATCTGTTTTTTGCCCTCGTATTGTTGGTCTTTTGCTCTGCTGATCGCTGTAGGTGTATATGCCTGCTCGGAATGTCAAATTTGGGCCTTGTTTTTACAGGGCACGCTGATCCGTGTATTTGACACATTCAAGAGGACCCTGCTGGTGGAACTCCGCAGAGGAACCGACCCTGCCACACTTTACTGGTGAGCAGGCGACCATGAATGGAAAGCTATATTGGCAGTACTTTGGGACAAGTCACTGGCCCCATATAGTATTATCACGTCTTTATAGTAGGCTATATAGTGACATAGTGAACAAATTAAGGAAATAATGACAGCACTCTAGGAGATGCCACTAGCCTTGTATTTTCATTATGTCTTTTTGATAGGCTGTAACGTGACCGAAACTGTATAAACCAAGAGAGACATATATAACGAAAACAAAACTCGTTTATGGATAACATGTAAATATTCAACTAAACCCAAAAAAAGAAAGGCATTTTTTTTTTTTTTAGTTAGTAGAAAATATTAGGGGTGTGAGAATATTTGAGATTACGAATACGAATCAAATATTTTTCTTATTCAATTCATATGCGACTCGAGTGTTGCTTACTATTCGGAAATTTCAGAATATTCGGGTAAGGTATGAATATTTGGGCAAATAGCGAATAACCTGCATGTGGGACATGCCCTGAACATTCATAGCTTTTTTAAAAGCTGTGTTTAGTCACCTAAACTTGCAGGTACCGTATACAGTCTAAGCTCATTATAACAGACCTGGTTACAACAGACATTTGGATATAACATACTGATTTGTGAAGTTCGGTTGGTTTTCCTCTATGCGCCATTGACTCAACTTCATATCTGCATACAGCCTACTCCTTTTACAACAGACCAAAATCTTGGTCAAAATTGAGGTCTGTTATAACGAGCTTAGACTATATACGCATGTAATATACGCAGGTTGTTTTTTTTTCGAGTTTCAGAGTGAGAGTTAGAGATGCTGCTATTACACAGGGGGAAAAAAATTGTTTTTTTTTTTTGCAAAATACTTTTTTTTTAGTAAAAGCAGTTTTAACTTAACTTTATTCAATGAACTTACTTCCATGTATTGGAAGAAAAGAAAAGAAATGAGAGTTCATTGCTCTCACGAACACATCAGCGGTTGGCGTCCGCACTACGGTCACTAGTCCGTACAATCCTCCTCGGAAGTCGGCTCCACATCGTCGGAAGGGTCAGAAGTCGTCTCCACATCGTCGCCCTGATCCCAGTCCCAGAGTAGGTCATCCTCCGTACCATCCAACTTGTTGGAGATACCTGTGACCTTAAAGCTCTTCTTCACGACCTTAAAAGATATCGAACCCCACGCTTCAAGAATTCAATTGCACACTTCAACAAGGGACGCCCTTTGCAACCAACCAGTCGGCGTTTTCTGGTGGACAGTTGTAGCCATCGACTCCGAGTAGGCGCGGCGAATTGCGCACTTGAAAGGCCGATTTACCGAAACTTCCAGTTGCTGGAGCATGTCGGTCATATCCCCAGGTATAACCACTAAGTCCGTGTCAGACGCGCGAAGTTCCCGCACATTCTCAGTCAGATGTCCTCGAAAACTATCAAGGACAAGGAGGCTCAGTGTGTCAAGGTCTGTACTTAGCCGCTTTTCCCAAACGCACTTTAACCAGTCTTTCACGTGCACATCCGTCATCCATCCTTTTCCCTGTGCTTGGACAATTATGCCGTCAGGAAATTCCTCCGCGGGTACTCGTTTCCTTTTAAAGACGATGTAAGGTGGAAGTTTTCGCCCATCTGCCGTGATGCAGAGCATCACCGTGCATTGCTGTCTTTCGGCGCCCGTTGTGCGAATTTGGACGCACTTCTTCCCTTTCACCTACACTGTGACGTTCTCAGGGGCGTCGAACTAAACCGGAGATTGATCTATGTTGCGTATCTGTGAGAGTTTGTACCTGTGCTCTCTGCGCATCTTGATGATGAAGTGTTGAAACGGAAGCAGTTTCTCTTCATACTCCACTGGTAGACGCTGACACATCGTTGTCCGACAAGAAAGCGAGAGGCCTTTTTGATTCATAAACCGCCAAATTCATTCATTGCTGACTTTGAACACTTTCGGTGGAAGCTCCTTACTTCGCGCAATCACGAGCGCCTTCAACCGAAACATCTCTGTTGAAACCGCATAACCGTTGCTGCGGGTATTAGTCACGTACTGCAGACGCAACTTTTCTACCTCAGGAAACATGCTCCGCTTCCCTCGGAAAGCGCGCTTTGTTTGCTTTGTCTTCCTTAGAGAGCCTGCTTGGAGGCACCAACGACGTACACACTTCCGTCCAACAGCTCTTTTGTCGTTTTGTTTAGCAAACGCAACAACCTTCAGCTTAAAATGGGCTGTGTAGCTCACGTACTTGCCCATGGAGAAAGTCGCTGGCGTGAACTGGCGGGAGATAGTCGCTGGCGGGAAGACCGAAACTGCCCGTACGATCCGTGTTTACATTCACTTTCAACCCAAGATGGCGCATAAATGCAAAAATAAAAGGCGCGAAAATGTGTGCGCCATCTGGCGCAAGCTGCTGACATGTTCTGGAGTCGCTTGTTTTAACGCCCCAAAGCAGATGGCGCTTCCAACCTTCTTCAAATCACTGGTGCGGCCTATACACGGCTAATTTTAAAATAGTTTTTTTTTTTCAGTTTTTCTGCTCGGAGTTACGGGTGCGGCTATTACATGAGCGTGGCCATTACACGCGTGTATGCGGTATTGTAGCCATTTTTCTATAAACCCTTGCCGTTTATGTTATACGTAGACCTACCGTGTTTGCACAATTCTAACTCGCACTGAAATCTTACACGCAGACAGATTTAGCTCCCAGATATTCAAAAAGTGAAAATTCTGCCGATTCTACCACGCAAGTAAAATAATGAAGGTTGAACACGTGCCTTATTTCATAGAACAGATTTTATTAAATGCATGCTAACACAAAAATAAATACCGTGTACTAGTTGCTGTTGTCGGAGCCCGATGATGACCCTTCATTCTCCACACCGGCGTAATACTTGCTTTCGCCTAAAGTGTTTTAGGTGTCACGCTTCTTGCTTTTGTAGGAGTGCGCAACCATCGCCTCTGGGAGGTGTCATCTTCCAAACAGCACTTTGCGAGCTTGTCAGGTTGCTGGGATTGGGAGGCCACGCAGTGCTTCTTTGTTGTTATCTTTTCCCACCAGCGTGATGACCATTTGTTCTAATAAAACCTCCTAGTGGAATTCCTTTTGTTTTCCCATCTTAACAGCAGACACAAGTCTGTAGACACGAGAGAATTCGCGTGATACGGATCCCAAGATGCTGAATGTAAACATATGGTCACGATGGCAATGGGGCTAGCCTCCTTATACCGAGTATTGTGTTTTTTATTTTTTTAGTTTCAGTTTTTGGTTTTTATTGTAACGTGCATGTATTTTTGGGCACCGATTTCGGTAAAAAAAAGTGTGCATTAGAATCGTGCGAACAGTTATGTAATAGCTCGCAACAAAGGAGCAGTTTTGATATTCGTTTTGGCAAGCCTGCATTCTGAGTCACTTTTCTAGCGACCTTATTTCTGCTGAAGGAGCAAGCAAATTTTCTACATTTTTGCAGTTGTCACTGCAAAAATGGAGCACTTATATACTCAACATGTTTTGGGTGGTTATGGGTGGTGGTAATCGAAGGGTTCAGAAGCGGTCTCTAATCGGGAGACGCCAAGCCTACTCTCACACCCCGCAGCTTTCTCTTCGAGAACACCGCTACGGGCAGGTCCGAATGTCAGCCGCACAACTGATCGCTTCTCTAAAAAGGAGGAGCACGTACCACAATAGGAGTGGGTCCAAGGGTGCTTCTTGGAACACCAAAAGACATACTGTCCAAAAACCCCCGCGCCGGCAAGGTCAGATGAAAGGCTCACCCTGTCGACACCTTCCCGAGAGCGCAGTCCAGAGCGAGCAAAGGAAAACCTTCGCGATACGTACAATCTCTATGGCATCCGCAAGAGGAGTGCCTGCGTTCCCGAAGTAGGGAACGCGCGTCGACCTCCTCCCCCTGCAGGTGTTGTCCTCACCCAAAACAGTTAGGTTCCCAGATGAGCGGGGGGGTGGAAAAGGGTCCCCCTGGTAGAGAGTGAAGAGGAGAGCCCCCCAAGCCAGGCGGCTCTTTTACGCTTCACAAACAGGCTGGAGCTCACGACTGTTATATGGCCGACTGTTACACGGCTAGCGATTCGGGCAAATTTATTTTTTATGATTTACTCGCGACACAACAGATTTTTATGCAACTGACCATTATACGACTGTTATATGACTGACTGTTACACGGCTAGCAATTCAGGCAAATTAATTTTTTTATAAGAAAACTCACAGTTCGAATTTAATATTTTTAACACCACATGAACGTATGTCTGCTTTGCCACTTCAATTTATTAAGGCGAAAATCTTATATGTCTCATTGTTCAGTCGACCTTCAAAGTCCTTGAGAGAAAACATGTCGGCGACACAAAAGGTTCCAAAACGTTTAGATGACCACTCAGGCGAATTAAGAGGAATCAAAGTGAATTAAGAGGAATTAAAGTGAATTCAGAGGAATTAAAGAGAAGTAAGAGTAATCAAAGCTAATTAAGAAGGAAGACAAAGCTAATTAAGAGGAATTTAAGTGAATTAAAAGGATTTAAAGCAAATTAACTGGATGACTAAGCAAACTGAGATGATGACTTGGCACATTGAGAAGGATGACTCAGCAAATTAAGCTGGCTAATTAAAGTGGCTGTATAGTATGGGTGACAAATCAGTTTAAGAGGGTCGACAATGTGGTGTAAGGAATTGTGTGTGTGGAATTTGAAAATACAGTCGAACCCGGATATATCGAAATCAAAGGGGATCATAAAATAGTTTGATATATCGATAATTTGATATACAAAAATATGTTAACTGAAGCTCCAGTTGAAATTTCCGCACGTCTCTGCTAATACGGAAGGCCGGGACAAATGGGACCTTACCAAATAGAGCCTCTAAGAGCCGCTAAAAACAGTAGAGCTTACTGTAAAATACTTTGTTGGTTGGGCGAGTTGGTGAACGTTTGGATACATGGTTTTGCACAGAAAAGACGGACAGAAGAGAGAGAAACAAACACGAGCGCTGAGTAGAGCTTAGTCGGTGAAGATCACAGACACCGCCGCGTTAACGCGATGGTCTTTGTGATTGTTTACACCTGCCACGACCTCCACACCACCCACAACAAAACACAAAAATAATTTAAAAAAAGGAAAAAAAAAAATGAAAAAACAAGTTGCATAAAAAATAAAAACTTCATTTATAGAATAAAGTTAAGCAAGCAAAAAAAAAAAAAAACCTCACTAAATTTAGACAGCAAAAAAGGAAAATAACGCTCAAAGCAATAACTGCTAAAGAAAAGGGTAAACAAAGATAAGGCGTTTCAAGTGCGATTGCTCAACCGTTGTTGACACACTCAACTTGATAGACTTTTTTTTTTTTGTCTTTTTTTATTTTGGGGGTTAAGGAATTGCACAGCGATAGCGGTGTTCGGAGAAAGAGTGTACGCTACCGTTCCAACAGCGAGCACTCCTTGCCCCCCCTACGTGCACGTGGGCCCTTCCCCATGCTTTTGCCTTCCTTCACTTTTTGTTTTACGGTTCTTTTTGCTTTTTGCAACTGCCCTTTCACTGCGTATCCCCATGTGCATATGCTGGCTTGGCGGTCTGCCAGCGCTGCATTGCGAGCTATGTGCTCGCTGTGTGCTTGCCGCCTGCACAATCCAACTGCGGGAGTAGCAACGGGCGATTGTTTTTGTTCACCCAGTCTCCCCGCTATGGGAGTTCGATACAGAAAAACGCTCCTATACTACCGTATTTACTCGAGTAATAGCCGCACTGTTTATGAAGAAAACCTGAGGGTTTGCTTTTCCGCGGAGCACGCAGATTGCCAATCACCGCGATCGGCAGCACGATTTCAGCAGTTTACGGGACAGAGATAACGTCCTTGTGCAAAGATACCACCTGTGAAGATTGCATTTGTATGGAGACTCGTGTTCTCGATCTGGTTATTCGCTATGTTATTTATGCGCTACGCAATGATTGGCTGTATATGTGTTCTGTGGGAAAGTAGACGCAAAGGCCTTGTTCATAAATAGTGCGGCTATTACTCGAGTAAATACGGTATTACATGTGATTTTCAAAGTTACGTTTGGACCAGGGTGTGATATAACCGGGCTCGACTTAACGTATGAAACAAATAAAGAGAATATGAGAAAAGAGAACATGAAACAAAGTAAATCATTTCTCTGTCTCTAATGCGTCGGCACTTGGGCTGTCGTCTTCAAGTCGTCTTAGGGATAACTTAAGAAACGCTGTGAATTTTTCTCATTGCGATATAATGAAATATAGAACATAAAAGATCTGTTACACCATTGACACGTCAAGAAAATATGCATTTATTTCTATTTATTTATAAGCTAGCCAAATTGAATTGGTTGGCGGAAGTTTTTAAGCAAATTTGTATACCCTTTGTTATACCACTGACATTCAGGTCAGTCATACTTGTTTCTTCCTTTAATTCTTAAAAATATAAATATGTTAGCTACACTGGATGCTGAGATCATATTATAAATTGGAGCTGACTCAGGAAGGAAACTTATAAAAGTTTCCTTCTGCAAGATTAAAGTTCATGCCTTTGAAACTTGTGTGGTAGCTAGCAGATACAAAACAAATGCTGAAATTACATATAGGAAATAATCTAAACTCAATTTTTTCTAAAATTGCCTTAATTATGAGAACTTGAAAAAAAATTTTTTAGGGCAACCTAATGCTATGTTATACAAACAATATTTTACACATGATGGTAGGAAAGTGTTCGAAAGTTACTTGACAGTCACATCAATGTTTAATTTTCGGGCGAATGACCAATTTACTGCCCTCCAACTGAGTGCATGCTCCGAGCACCGACTGATTTCAATCTTTTTTTTTCTTCCTGTCCGTGTCTTTTTGCGCTGTTTTACCCTTTTAAAATGCACCACCAACTCGCCCAACTCACCACCGTACTGACTTGAATCAACTGTTCAAAACTTGATGTAATCCCCTTTTGCTTAGATGGTTGAAAATTGTCTGCAGCATTTCTTAAATAAGTAAGAATAAAATACAACAAAACATCCATAATTATATACCTTTCCAGCGGCAGTCTCGAACGTAGCGATCTACAGCGGGCGTCCCTGGTTGTGAGAGTGTACATCAGTGTTGCCCGACTGCACTGGGCTGTGGGTTTTCTCGTCAGTGCGCTGTTGTAACCTGCATAGGCGCGATTCTGGACGCTGGTGGCGGCTAAATTGCCGCGTTTTTTTTCTTTTGTATTCTATGCCGAATAGAATTTTTAGAGGTTTTTAAAAAAGCATTGTACTATTTTTGGTAACGCAAACAAACAAATGAAAGCTATTTTTGGTGAGCCTGTGTGCGACGGAACAAATGCAACTGCAATGTTTGTTTTGTTTCATGTTGATCTTTTTATGGCATCATACACTTATCTGTGTCAATCTTCAAAGGTCTTAATTGTCAAAAATATTTGAACACACATAGGATAGCCAAACTGCATAGGTATCTCCTGCTCACAACATGAAATTCAACGAGTCTCATTAATCGAACAACATATATTGTACATACCAGACGGTGCCGTGCTATCCTAACGGGATTTGAGAAAGGTCTCAAATTACACAGCATATGCAATACACAGTGTTGACGATAGTCACTTCATGACGGTCGGACGAAATCCCTCTTGTTTTGGGGCATGTTTTGAAGAGAGCTGCTTTTTTGCACAGCACCAAATCAAATGAACCAATGTGTCTATTCCGTCCCCATACGCCAGACCCGACCCTATCAGCTATTTTTTGCGAAGAGGGGGAACATAGCCAGGAAGGCTTTTCGGCGATTATCTCAACAAAAATAATCCTTGAAAAACGTCTAGCAGCCCGCGTCGCACGCTGTTTCGCATTCACTCTCTTCGTTTGTTTCCTGCGAAGACCGAGCAGGCTACGAGCCCTGGAATTCCTTGGTTCTCACAGTGGAAGATAACAGAAAAATGATAAGCACCCTGAACAGGCAAATGTAGTAAAAACTTTCAACAAATATCAGCAAACTCCGAATGCACAATGCACCTGGGGTGTCGTGCTGACCGGGTTTCCACAGCTCCGCCGGGTGGCAGAAATTTCTGGCTGATAGGGGTCGCTCGAGTTCCTAAATGGCGGAGGCCAGAGAGCTCTTTTTGCAAAGGTCTATAGGATCCATACCGATTTCCCCAGACCAAGAGGATGGTTATGAGGGTGAAGGTGATTAAAGGAGGTGATAGGTAATGCATTAGTGCTTTGCTCAGATTATTCGAGCCTCGAAGATAGTTAGGCAGAGATTTTCACATCTTTGTACCGTTTCACTGTTTCAGCATCAACTTCAGCCACGACTCGGAGTTCCTGTGCGTGTCAAGTGACAAGGGCACCATTCACATCTTCGCCCTCAAGAACACTCAGTTGAACCGGCGGTCCACGTAAGTTCCTGACGGTCGCCGCTTTCTGTGGAAGAGCGACAGCACTGAACCTGCACTTTGCCTCCCCCTGCAATAGATCACAGCCACAGCTAGAGGCTGTGGCCCATCACAGCCTCTGGCCTCTAGCCTGTAAAACACCAGGTTCAGTCAAGAGCCAGGTAGAAGCCATGTGGTGTGTTACTCTCGCACCGATACGCACGCATGTTGGAGCAGTGTTCAGTTTTGCAGTTTTTAGCTGGCTTGTGATTGGACCTGGCGGCCAAAGGCAAGGTGGCACACTACACCCTTGCCGGGATGTTTAATGGGGCGCTAAAGTGTTTTTTGAGTGTCTTAGTCGTGAAAAGTGAATTATGTGCCCTAAGTATTCTAGAAATTAGAATGTTATAGGCATGCCTAGCTTTTTTCTTTATTAAAAACATGACCAAACATTGGTACGCCTCTTTCTAAAATACATCTCAGAGGAGGAGCGTGTTGCATTGTTTGGTTGCATTTTGAAGCAGAAAAAGAGCCACGCATGATTGTATTTTTGGGCATTGTGGGATGCTTGAAGGGGCTGTCCAAACAGAACACAGCAAATCATGTGCACGGCAAGAAAAGCGTGCACACTTCTCAAGAAAACAAGAATGTTGTGGCGCTGGTTGTTCAGGACATCAACCATGTGAAGAGCACGGCTTTCCTTTTTGCCTCCTCGCTGTTGTCTCCCCACCTTTCTTGTTTTTGGGGGGTTGCTGACTGACAACAATGGCAGAGGCCTTGACGACAGCCAGCTGAATGTGCGAGTATCTGTTTGGACCCACTTGATAAGCATGCTCCAAGACTGTCCAAGGACAGAGGCGGAGGGCAGCATTCCTTCCGGCAAGAAAAAAGGCGTCCCAAAGCAGACGGGAACCAGGGGATAACCTCCACTTCTGGTGCAACAAATGCTGTGAACTGCAGAAAACATGTCCTGTTAAAGTCTGTGCTGTTTGGACAGCCTTTAAGTCACATAGCTTAAGTGTGCATCATTAAAAGATGATCTGAAAGAACACCTTGGTGCCACTTTTAGGGTGTTGAATATCCTTGTGACTGGAGAGGTAGGAGATATGTAAAAGATAAGGTCAAGTTTCACCACCTTGTTTTCGTTGTTGGTGTCAAAATGTTGCTGACTTCCTATCAATGTAAATGAAACCAATGTGCCCTGCCTAACAAGCGACTGGTCAATATTTATTTGCAATATAAGAATGTTCTAGAGGAGAAGCTGGGATGTGCCAATCGTCGATTGACCATGCTGTCTCGTGTCCTTCTCTCATGACTCGCAGCACGGACCTCCTGGTGTCAGAACTACACCACTCTTCTCGGTGCAGAGTGTGCTGTAGCTAAGGTGCCACTCCAAATACAGTTACCTGCCGTTAATTCGACCTTGATGGGACATAAAAATATGGTCAAATTATCCAAAAATCGAATTAAAGGATGCGTGTGAAATTCTGAATATCCAGCACTTTAGATCAGGGGGGCTAACATTTTTATAATGAGCAGACGCACTCCGCCGCATGGTGGCAACCGCCAGGGTGTCGAACCAAAATTTTTATCGGTTCGGTTCCGGTTCGGGTTCACGGCTTTCGGTACGGTTCCGGTTCAGTTCCGGGGAGCAAAAATAACGGTTTAAACCGGTTCGCACCGGTTTGAACCGGTTTGAATCACTAAATTGAGAATATATTTTCCGCATTGTTCTGGCAATATACACTATTTACGCCGTCAAGCGATTAACTAATAGTTTCTTCGATCGTCCGTGCAATTTACTTTTGTTTTTAGGTACCAAAAATATTAATTTCAGTTATTTAATTTCCACGCAAAAGTAGAAGAAAATCTACATTAACATACATGACGTCGTGTTCTTACATCCCTTTGTTTACGAGTAAAATATATTTTACCTGAATCGAAATTTTTAAGTACAAGAGCAAAAAGTTCGAGCTTGTTGGTACATACCTGCAAATAGATCAGCTTCTAATTTAGAACTATACTATATTTTCTTGTCATTTCTTCGTTTTTAAACAAAATTAAAAAGTGCAAGCTGATCTATTTACACAATATAAAATGTGGTCGCGAAGTGTGGTAGGTCGTCTAAGATACCCGTTATTGGTACAACTTTGTGTCGCAGTATTAAAAGTGAAACCGTGTCCTTGAACTAAGGAATTAATTACATCACATAAAATTATGAAATGAGCACCTCGGTGGCCATATATATCCTAAAATAAGGTTTGCGAAATACACTTCAGAATATATATGTATATGATGACGACCCTACTGAGCTAAAAGCAATGAAATTTTCAAAATGTAACAAAAGTTTTAGGATAATTCCTTTCATACTATTTTTATAGAAACACCGAGCGGCAATCCAAATGCCTGTTGTTCTAACCAAACATTGTTTACACTGAGCACCGCATGCATGCAACTAATCATGCAGCAAGAAGTAATCGCAATCGTTCACTCTATTTCTATGCGCACCTTCGAACTCAGATCAAATCTGGCCCAAAACAGCACTTGCCCAAGTGAACATTTTCTTATACAGAATAAGCTGGCATAGCCTGCCTGTGGAGGGTTGTTCTTGACAAGATGCCGGACAATTTAAGTTGCAAATGAGCATCACCCTTGGTAATTGATAATTTTTACACGATAGCGTTAAGGAGCTCATGTCGCAGGAAATCCGATGCCGGTGGCGTGACTAGAAAATCTTGATTGAGCGATAGGTTCATGACGTAAGAGCTACATATCCTCGCGCAAGATTTTCAAACAGCCCACAATGCTTACGTGAAACGTGACATCACGCGTGGAATGAGTGATTAAAACATGACATGTAATGCGAATTAAAGGTCGCCGTATGTTTCAAATGATTTTACCTTTGAAAATAATTCCTTTGCCTTAAAGAAAAAAAATATTTAGGCGGGATTCGGACCCACGACCCTTTAGTTGCGAGTCAGACGCCACGCGAGGCACGCTTGCGCGGCAAATGAGAGTGCGATGCAGCCGAGACCCGTTGACGCTATCGCGTTCCACTTTTAAGGACGAAGCTTAAGCGTCCTTTAAGATTCTTTTTTGATAAGTAAAACGAAGTAGTATATCACGTTCTACTCGACATGGCAGCTACTTAATTGGACACTTTCCGACGGTTTGCGTGCGTAATCGTCATAGTTCCAACGCGCGCCCCTGTTTACTTCGTGTTTGTCCAGCACACAGACCCATAAAAGTAATCTTCATTACATAAAAGAGGCAATAACAGAATTCTATATGTTTGAGAAGTTAGATGTGTGAGGAACACATAGTTGTTTAAATTAGCTTCAATATCAGAAATGTATGTAAGGCCGCCCAATATCACTTACAACGAGCCTGTCGAGGATAAAAAACGCCGGAAAAGATTGGCGGAACACCTTTCAAATAATTTGGGGGGCATTGCTTTAGAGTGGTCGGCCCTCTGTTTATTTCGTCAAATATTCAGTTAGTAATTAAATATATTTTGTATTGATCAATAAATTTTACTTTATAAAGTTCTCATAACCGCTTGAGACCGATGCTGAAGGACGACACTCGAAATTATGCGAGCTGTGGAGTCTGCGTAAAAGTGTTTTTCTGCTTGGCTGATTGGCAGTTGTGAAACATCGGATTGCAGGGTTCGCTAAAAAGACTCTGTGCTCACATAATGGATTGGAAGTCAAATACACGAAATGCTTAAAAAGAGAGAGATAATTAATCTTATTTTTTTCCAAATAATTCCTTGCAGAACGCCTCACTGCAAATAGAGATGCGTAAAGATGCGCGCAATGAAATTCATGATTTTGCATAAATATCCCGAAGGACAGACAAAGATTCTCAAAATCTTAGTATAAATCACATTTAGTCAGCTTGCATCAGCTAGAAACTTTGCGAAATACTGCCTCGGGAGGCTAATGTTATATTCGGTTTTACCTGCACTTGTTTTGGGCCCTCACTTTACACACTATGCTAGAGTAGTCATGCGCTCTAACATTTCTCTAGGCCACCGTATATTATGGCGAGACTGCTATAAATACTGCACAACTTTACATTTAGGAAATTTATTGCTAGTGTTGCGAGCATCATATTTCACCAGAAAGCTGAACTATTTAGCATGGTATGCACGTGATGTCATCACACTATAGGCTAGTGGTCATTCTGATTTCTTCTTGCTGAGAAAATCAAATTCGACGGTGCAAAAGGCACGCTGCAGGAGGTTCAAGCTCAGTGAAAGCAAAGTATTTGAAAGGCACGTATTAGTATTCGTAGTGCACCGTCGTGAGGAACTGCGCGAGCGTCCGGCACGACAAAAACGTGCGTTTTGTCAAGAGCGTTTTTGCAAACAAAGTAGTTTCCGGGGTCACGCTTTTTGGACTGCGCCAAAGATGGCAGGAAAGAGGAACCTTTACAACACAGTATGCTTTTAAAACTCCCCCCTCCCCCCCTCTACACATACACACAGACGCACTTCTTTATACAGCGGTGCTGTTAAAGGCTAGTTTCCCAGTGTCGTGTCCGTCAACAAACGAATGATGACACTAAACTCCGCCATCTATAAATGACGACGGCAAGCAGACAACCCGCTTGCCGGTTGTCTGGTCCGCCGCCGTTCGTAGAGGGTGGCAACCCCTCCAGCCTTTTCATTCTGGCTTACCGACTTGCGGCCGGCCATTACTTTATTCCCACCATAGTACAGCTTTATTGGTCGTCACCAGAGTGGAAAGACTGAAAGCATTCCTGAGGAATTACCTCCTTCGTTTGTGTCTGTTAATTTGACAATTTTATTTGACACTTGTTAACTGCAACCCTTCATTACTTTTATTTTGCACCCTGTGAAGTTCCAAGGGGTCATATGAAATGATATCGGGTTGGAATGTTCATGACCTTTACGAGGCGTGCTGGTCCTCTGGCCCAAGCGTACTCGCACAGGCCGCCACTGATTCAGAAGCTTCTTCGTCGTGGTGAAATTGCGAAGATTAAACGAGATTATTTCC